GACAGCATTTTTTAAGCTCTGGTATTTAATATCGCAACGGTGTCTTAATATGCAACCCACAGCCGCGTTAGCTCAGGTTTGACATCCGTTGTGGTTCCCCGACTTGAATTGAGCGCAGCTTTCTATCTGTCTCTGTTCCTCCGTGCATGTTGAGTATAATATTGCCTTACATTCACACACTTTGATCTTGTGCAATGAAAGATAATAAATGCAACGATTTATTCCAAGAAAACAGCAGAAGAAAGAAAGCGGGTGGCAAAATGCAGTTGAAGTCCTCCGCAAATCAGTTTGACTGTTCAGGGCCCACTTTTTTTTTTTCTTAGTTTGCTTTTATTTATTTTTAAATTTTTATTTAGTGTACGACGAAAACATGACAAAAGAGAAGGGAAGTTTTACTTCTACAGCTTTTCTTTTTTTTAGTTTGATTTTCACCTTCAGTCTCTGAGGTTGATAACGATCTAACGAAGGCGATTTCCTAGGACCCACAGAGGGAAGATTCATCAAAAGTATTTAAAGGAGTGAGTTGATGAAAGGCCTGGAAAATAAACAGGATAAAGTCGCCACAAAATGGATAAAAATGAGCAATGGTTGTAGGTGATGACATCTTGGCCTCACTCAGTGGAACCAAGTATGATGTCTAGGCAAACTTTAAAAGAGATGGATGGATAGGATAGGATAGGATAGGATAGGATAGGATAGGATGATAAGATAGGATAGGATAGGATAGGATAGGATAGGATAGAGATGATAGATAGATAGATATGATAGATATTGATAGATATTGATAGATAAAGATAGGAATGGATAGATAGACGATAATCAAATTTTTATTTTTATCAAAATATAAGATACAAAGGAAAATAAGTAATGGAAAACTAGGAGAAGGGAAAAAGAAAAAAAAAAGGCCTTGGCTTCCAACTCTCTTTGGGGCAGTAGAATATAACATTACAACCTCAGCTTTCTACTTTTGCCCAATAGTATATATAGTAGCCATTTCTATAACAACAAACCTATCTAGCCAACAAAAACAAAGCCAAAATTTCAGGGTTCTTTTCCCCCTGCATCCCAAGCGCACAGTCTGGGAAAAGCAATTTTCAAACAGAAAAAAACATATTCTCTTCTTTGGAAAGAGGGGAGAAATATAGTATAGTCTGGAAAATGGGTGCAAGTTTGGTGGGGAGTGAGCACCACGTCAGCCCTGTGGAAATGTTCCATTTCTTGATATTAATCAAAAAATTCGCTTTCTCTTTCTGTCTTGTGAACGTTGTAGGCTGGGGACAAGTTTCCTAAGTGGGTTTTGGAGTATGTAGTCTCAAGATTTAGACCTTGGGTTTTTTTTTCTCAGAGCATATTGTGGTTGATTTCAACACACTCAGTTAAAAGTTGATGGTTTGGTGAAAACATTGCCAGTAATTTTTGTACTTCCACACACACCCCCCCCACACACAATTGCTCCATACTGGCTGAGAATTATGTGAGCTGTAGTCCTAAAGGACAGGTAGTCCTCAATGTACAATGGAGCCCCCAATATTTCATGGTGAAGTGTTGAGTTTTGCCTCATTTTACAACTTTCCTGGCCACCTTCGTGAAGCAAATCACTGCAGCCGATAAGCCAGTCACCTGGTTGTTTGAGTGAATCTGGCTTCCCCTTGTGAGAAGGTTGCATAAAAACGCCTCACTAGGAGGAGACTCTATGATGGGGGAACTGGACTTCCAGTCGGCAGAAGAAAAAGGACACCATGCTAGGAGGAGACTCTATGATGGGTGAACTGGACTTCCAGTCGGCAGAAGAAAAAGGACACCATGCTAGGAGGAGACTCTATGATGGGGGAACTGGACTTCCAGTCGGCAGAAGAAAAAGGACACCATGCTAGGAGGAGACTCTATGGTGGGGGGAACCAAAGTTCTGTTCGGCTCCAAAATTGAACAGTGGGCTTCTGGCTAGGACCTTTGTGGTTCTTTGAGTGTTTAAGGTTGCTGGCTCCTGGCCTAGACTAGAGGCTCCGGAGGCCTAGAGGCGGAGCTCTCGCCTCACAGTCAGGAGGCTGTGAGTTCAATCCTAGGTAGAGGCTAATAAAGAAGCCGTAAAATGGGACACCACTCAAACGCTTCGCTTAGCGACGTAAATTTGGAGCTCAGTTGCGGTTGTAAAGTCGGGGGACTACCTCTAGTTGAAGGGTATCTTTTGTTCCTTGGGAAAAATGACCAAGCCAGGTCTGCGGAGATCTGCGCTTTGGAAATTAAGCGTAATCTATTCCTGTCTCCTTGCCCCCAAGCGTTGCTTCTAATTTCTCACAATCTGGAATTGTGATGCAAGACTTGGCAAATCCTTTGCCACTTCCTCTTTTTTTGTGTTCCATATTCCTCTTGTTTTTCTTGCCTGCCTTCAGCTGGGCTTCTGGCCTATCTGAATCCTTTCTCCAACCTGATGCCCTGTTGTGGGAGGGTGGAGAGTGTGGTCTCTCAACAGCTGGTGCCAACCCATCTGGAGGCCACTGTGCTGGAGAACAGCCGGCCCAGATATCTGGAGGATTGTTTTGCGACGGTTTTGCTGCTGCCCTTCAAAACGCAGCTTTTTCTTCTCCCCTTGCACAACCCCTCTGCAAGGCCGCAAACATCTTCATTGCACAACCCACTTTTCTGCAGCAAAGTCATAACAGAGACTCGTGCAAATAAACATGGAAATTTACCCTGGGTGTTGAAACCTTCCTGTGTGTTTGTTTTGCGGGATCCACTTTGTCTCATCCAAGAGAAAAGAAAAATAAAACAAATAATAGTTTAAAAGATCTCCAACAACTCCGGTCGTTTAGTTCTTCCTTCGGGACATTTTAATGCATCAAGCAATTTGCTTGATGGGAAATGCCAAGTACAGGCCAATTTTTGAGAGAAGAGAAATGGATAGTATAGAATATAGAATAACAGAGTTGGAAGGGGCCTTGGGGGTCTTCTTGTCCAACTCCCTGGCCGATCTGGAGACCCTATAACCATTTCAGACAAGTGGCTGTCCAGTCTCTTCTTAAAAACCTCCAGTGTTGGAGCATCCACAACTTCTGCTGGCAAGTTGTTCCACTTATAAATCAGAAATATGGTTTTCTTATAATTTTTTGTGGTGGGTTGGTGAGAGAGAGAGAGAGAGAGAGAGAGAGAGAGAGAGAGAGAAAAGATAGATAGATAGATAAAGTAGGTAAGTAGATAGGTAGGTAGATACAGTAGGTACAATGGATGGATGGATGGGTCCTTGGTGCTCTCTTGTTTTCTTGAAGACATTTCATGACCCAACTAGGTAACATCATCAGTGCTAATAACGAATGCCGTTTGTTCTCAGTTTATATTCTGGTATCTTGCCTGTCTGTGTTGGTAGAGGGGGGCAGTCTTAGAGATTCTTTTGGTTGGGCTGCTTACTAATGGCTCCTTGGCAGTTTCTTGATTGGGGTGTTGCTTACTTGATTGTTGGTTAGACAGACAGACAGACAGACAGAAGCTTTGGGTTCAGTGAACACCCTCGTCTCTTTCCGTGGCACGGAGCTTCGTGGTCTACTGAAGTAATCCTTGAGTGCTTTGCGAGGAGAGCATTGTAGCTAATCCTTCTGGATCATTTGCTGATGGAAACCATCCAGCCTCAGCAGCTTTGGTCTTCATGTCAACATTTATACTTTCCCAAGAGCAATTCAAGTTGGCTTGGCAAACTTCTTCCTCCACGCTGCAGCTGTTCAAAACCTACTCCATCCCTTTATGACCCTACACGGGTGGGATGAAGGCCAGCATCCTGCCTGGGGTTTCTCCAAGCCACAAGGTGGCAATATTAGCCACTGGATGAATTCATCCTTTGGGTAGCCCTTTTCGTTAGGTGTAAGGAAGAGGTTTTCTTGAAGTTCTTCTGGAAAAGTTTCTCTTCACAGAGCGACACCAGCGATCTCTCTTCCAGGATCCTATACAGTAGGTCAAAATGCATAGATGACTCGTGGTCTCTGGTGAGCAAAGCCCTACATTGGAGGGGTTGACTGAAAGCAAAGCTGGAGAGAGAGAGGCGGGGGAAAAAGGGCCGTATTTTGTTTAAAAATCACAATACCGAGAAGATTTTGGATGAAAGATACTCTTCAGATTTCGGAGAGAGGTTTGCACGGAGAAGAACTTTGTATGGTCATTAAATGAACAGTTACATGCTTAGTTTAATTTACTTCATTGTAATTGCACTTCGTACAATGAAATTAAATACCATCTTCGGTGTACATTATGACTGCGAAAATAAAACACAAACACACGCCCTTTGCATTCTATACATTGAATTGAAAACCCCTGATATTGCATGAATATTGCACTAGACAGTAGAATTCAACAGAGCTACTTGCCCTGGGATAGAAGCTGTTTTTCAGCCTGTTTGTCCTTGTTTTTATTATTATCCTGTACCGTCTGCCAGGTGGTAATAGTTTTAAAAAAAAAAAGGGTTCCCAGGATGAGATGGATCTCTGAGAATGTTTTGAACTTTCTTAAGGTAGCAGGAGCTATGAAGCTCTTCCAAAGAGGGGAGAGGGCAACCATGATCCTCAGGGCAATGACGGTTAACCCTCTGGAGCACTGTCCTATCTGCCCCTGTGCAATTGGCAAACTATACACAGGTGCAGTAAGTTAAGATACTTTCTATGGTACAGCGGTAGAAGGTCACCAGCAGTTTTCCATTCAGTTGTTGTTTCCTGAGAAGTCTCAGGTGGTATCTTCTCTGCTGGGCCCTTTTGACCAGGGCTGCAATGGGAGCCCCCCAGGTCAGAACGGACATACATAATATATACAGAATATACAGAATGGACAAACCATACAGAGGTGCAGTAATGTGGAGCTGACTGACTGTGCTCCAGAACGTTTGCTCGGTGCAGGATTCACGATAGCTTCCCTGACTGCTAACCTGAATTTGGTGGGTCCCCTTTGCTTACTTAAAGTCCCTGCCCTTCCGTTCCAGGAAACCTGCCGAAAATGCCAAGGCCTCTGGAAAGAACACATGAACCTCACTTGTGAGCAGCTGGCTGAAAAGGACGACATTAAATACAGAACATCCATGTAAGTATCTTCAGTGTTGGGAACGGGGAGAAGAAAAAAAACAGATACCCTCTCCCCAGCCCGATTTCAACCAGTGCCAGCTCTGCAAAGGTTGTTCTTAAGTTCTAGCGTTTTGTTTCCTAACGATTGAAAAATTAGAAGTCTGGTACTGCAGCACCTCTTTCTGGAACACGTTTTATTAAAAGGCACAAGCTTGCGTGGCTACCAGATTCTTCTTCTTCTTTTTTGGAGGGGGGGGTCCCCCTGGATTGACTTGGCTCTATTCCTACCTTCTCCGTGACCTGTTGAAATTTGACTAAGGACTGGTGGGGGGTTTTTTCTACCCCCTCAGGTAGTTGCTTCTTTATTCAAAGTTTCTTGGAGGGAGAGAGGAGAGGAAATAGAAGGGAAAGGATAGAGGGAAAGAGGAAGGAA